TATTATTAAAAGCTGGGTTTGTGGAAATTGTACAGTGAGTGTTCCCGGAGCGGGCAGTGCTGTGGAGGACATTGTTTTCGCATTGCAGCACTCCTTGTTGCAACTTCTCGTAGCAACATCATCATGAATCACAAGCCCGTTGGCTTCGCAACTGTTTCAGATACAGATAACAGTTAAAAATACTGTACTGTGGTATAGTGATGATATTACATAATAGTACGCTAGTGAATATTTGCCCTATTCACATACCATGGCATTTACACCAGTACTTGCGTGTAAAATGACAAAATAAACAAAGAAGAAAGAAATACACATACACTAATGCATGTTTGTGAGGAATATAGTGCAACTGCAGTGGTCTTCTGCTCAGTAAAACCTGCTATTTAGAGCACAGAAGAAGAAGAAGAAAAAAACACCTACAGGCCAGAGTAATTTTTGGCCCACGTGATCTGCTACAGTATGTAGAATTTCTGGAATGCTTTTGCACACTCAGCTGTTCCGATGCCAAAGTAAGTGGGAGTAAATGCAAAAAATGTCATATGACACATTTAATTTGTGTTCTAACGGGATGTGTGTTCATGTCTGTATTATGTAATGTTCCTCTGCAGGGCATGAGAGACTTTAGTGAATGGTTGGGTGAACATAAACAAAACATACAGGCACCGCAGCCGGTGTAGTGCCGAAATTTGCACCCTGCCAGATTATGCATCCCCTAGTATTGGTAGGTTTAGGAGTAGGTGTGGGGGAGGGGTTAGGATTAGGGGTGGGGCTGGGATTAGGCAATCAAGTAGCGCTTTTAATGAGGGGGTGCATAATCTGGCAGGGGTGCAGAATTCGGAACCAAGCGGCAACCTCCCGCTCTCTCTCGTGAAGCCAAGTGATTTAAACTGTAATTCATCAACTGGCCGCTAGAGGCTGGCTGCAAAAGGGAGTCAATCCCATAGACTCCCCATGTTAAAATGCCCAACTTTACAGCAGAAAAAAACGTTTACAGCCTGGTTCAAAAAATGATTTTGGTCTATATAGCTAATTTTGCCCTTGATGACAACTGTGAGGGGGGTGAATTTTTTTTATAAGTCATCCGTTTAAATTATATTAAGCCTTAAAGTTCTGCATAATTAAGGGCGTGGCCACTTGAGTGACAGGTGGATTGCTGCTGCTGTCACCACCGTCGAGCTAGGTGGGCGTGGCTTCAGCAACCTGCTCCCGCCTCTTTGCCTATTTTCGATTATCCGGGAGTGACGCGCTGCCAAGATGGCGACGGCCCGCTCCGTCCACTTTTGAGTTTCAAAAACGGTCTTCGGAAATGTACGGGTGACGTCACGGACACTACGTCCATGTTTTTATACAGTCTAAGGGCACAACACCGGTCTAGTTCCACCTTAATAAAAGATGTTGAAGCATTTTCCACAACCTTTAATAAAATGGCATTAAAGTCTGCGTGAACCGGAAGTTGCTGCCGACTTTATTTCAGTGAAGTGACATATTTCCAGCTGAAACGGAATACTGAGGAGAGGGCGTAGTTTTATTTTTGCGCTCTTCCTCTCAGTCTCTCTCTCATAGCAAACTAATGGTTGGATGGGTGTGTTTAAGGATGTTTTGCCCAAGCCGTCAAACTGACGTCATCAGAAAAGGAATGCCATTCCAGAGCGGAAGTAAATGTTCAGATTTTGATTAGAGATTACCAAAACAAACAATTATTTTCAGCGGATTAACTTGCACGGATTAATTGTTCACATCAAGACTAGCAATGTGCGCTAGTAAAGTAAATAAAGTCAATTTTGATTTCATGCCGACTTTAAAAATCTGTTAAATTGTGCAGGTTGAACTAATGCAGACATTGTGATGGTTTAACTTTATGTGACATTTCTATCTTTATAATTATTATTAAAAATCTTTTAGATTTATTATGACTTTTAGTTGTAGAAAATATACACGTGGTATGAATTTTAACATATGGCAGAAGTTTATGCCAGCAACATCTGGACTGAGGCCAAAGGAGAGGAAGAGCCCATGGTGGGATGGGAGAAGGCCCAGAGAGTTTCATGGAAAAATAATTTGTTATCTCTAAAATATACCGACTGACTTGATTAGAGAATAAATGTGTGATTAACGATCATTTGCATATCTCATTGCAAGTGTTTTTTTTTTCTGCCCGTGTTTGAATGATAATAACTAAGGAGGATGATTTTATATATCAGATGAGGACGCCTGAGATGTTTTTGTTTGTTATATTTTAATGTTGATGTTATTGTTCATGTGTGTGTTTGGCCCTCAGATGTCTAGCCAGTATCAGCGAAGTGTTCCACTGGAGGTCAGGAGAGTGGAAGGGGAGAGAGTCCGCACCAAACATCCGGATAAAATCCCGGTCAGTCTCATGGTTGGAAACTACAATAACAAACAATAATACATTTCTGTTACATTAAGACATTTTTTTTCACCCAAAAATGAAAATTCAGTGATTATTTACTCACCCTCAGGTCAATCCAAATCATTCTTCTGCAGAACATAAAAGAAGATATTTTGAAAAATGTTGGTAACCAAACAGCTTTGGTGACCATTAAAAAAATGTTTTTGAGGTATTTATCGAAATATCTTTTTGTGTGTTTCACAGAAGAAAGAAAGAAAGTCAGACAGGGTTGGAATGATAGGAGAGTGAGAAAATAATGACAGAATTTGAATCTTCAGAATATTATATTGGGTATTTACTTGTTTGTTTGTCTCCTTAGATAATTGTGGAGAGAGCTGCAAGGTCACGAGCTCCTGAGCTTGACAAAAAGAAATACCTTGTTCCTTCAGACCTCACAGGTGACAACTCTTATTTCATACAGTATATGCTCCCCAACAGGATGTTATTAAAAAAGAATAACATCTGTAAATTTACAGCGGAAATCAACTCGTCTCATGATTGTCCATAAGCGTTGCGTAATTTTATGCCGGGATATTAAGGCCTTTTCAATTTTTTTGAGACTGTCTGACCTTAAACTTCCCTATTCCTTTCTTCTTTAAGGAAGAAATGAAACTGTTTAGAAACTGTTAAGTTTTGATCTGACTTGAGTTTCTCTCCACACCCTCCTCGTCTTCTTCCAGTCGGTCAGCTCTGCTTCCTGATCAGACAGCGGGTGTCTATGAGACCAGAAGAAGCGCTCTTCTTTTTCGTTAAAAATTCCCTCCCTCCATCCAGTTCCCCCCTCTCTGCGGTGTATGAGGTAACTCAAGCACCCTTCCTCTTTATTACTGCTGAGTAAGATACTGAACCTTATTAGCATAGGGTGTTCAAAAACAAATGTTGTTTTTAAAATGCTAAATTCTTTAAGTAATATGATTAATCAATAAATTCATGTTTGAAAATCAAAAATGGAAAACTGAAAAACTTAATATAGCTAATATACACAATACCATTCAAAAGGTTGGGTCTGTAAGATTTTTTTTTAAACATTTAAAAGTAGCAGCTTATGCTCACAAAGGCTGTATTTATTTGATTAAAAAAAAACAGTGTAAACTGTAGTATTGTGAAATATTATTACTTTAAAAAAATAGCTGTTTTCTGTTTGAATATATGTTAAGTCCATTACTCCGGTATTCCAAAATGCTGATTTGCTGCTCAAGACACATTTTCTTATTCTCAATGTTGAAAAGAGTTGTGCTGCTTAATACTTTTGTGGAAACCATTTTTAACCACATTTTTGTTCAAAACTGCATTTTATTTGAATTTTTGTAACAATATAAAAGTCTTTACTGTCCCTTTTGATCAATTGAATGTCTCTTTGTTGGAGAAAAAAAAGGTATTTATTTTAAAAAAATAAAAAAATCTTACGGACCACAATCTTTTGAACGGTTTATACGCAGTTTTTACATTTGAAAAATAATACTAATAAATTGTTTGATCTAAATTGATCATCTGTGTGTTTTTAGGAACACCATGAAGAAGATCTGTTCCTGTACATGACATACAGCAATGAGAGTGTTTACGGTGCCTGAGATGAAGGATGAAAGGCCTGGAGGGAAGAGACGGAGAAAGAGAGAGAAAGATGATACATTATTTTACCACTATTATCCCATGTTCAATACATGGTACCTACAGGGTTCATTGTTCATAAGGGGGACTAAAGGGTGCTGTTTGTATTTGTCAGTATTCGGGGGAACTACAATGCGATTCATTAAACAGATTATTGGCAGTAAAGCTTCGGGACTTGAGAATTGAGAGACACTTACAAGAAAAGAAGAAAATGGAAGGTCAAAAACAACAATAGAGATACATTTCAAAAACAATAGTAGAGTAAGCAAGTATTCATTTCATCTTTCTCTCCCAGGACCGAGTCATTTGTATTTAATGCAAATAGGTTTTTGTTCTTGTTTTTCTTTTTTGTAAAGTATTATCAATAACTTTGTGCATATAATAAAAATCTTTAAAATGTTTAAGCTTTTTTTGTAAGTTTGTACATGATGTTTACAGTATTTGTTTTAGTGCAAATGAGGTTCAATTCATTGTTATTTATACTACTGCCATTATTTTATATTCAGCAATTTTTTTTAATACTAATATTTAAACATTTAACACTTAACCATATAGACCAGGGGTCTCCAAACTCGGTCTTGGAGGGCCACTGTCCTGCAGACTTTAGCTCCAACCCTGATTAAACACACCTGAACCGGCTAATCAAGGTCTTACTAGGCATGTTAGAAACTTCCAGGAAGGTGCTTTGAGGCAAGTTGGAGCTGAACTCTGCAGGACACCGGCCCTCCAGGACCGAGTTTGGAGACCCCTGATATAGACACCAGCAACTCATAGAAACAGTGTTTGATATGTTTGAAATGTCTTTTCCTATAGGATAAGACATGACTAGTGGTTTGAGTCATTCTGACAGTATGAAAAAGAGAGAAGTGAAGGATATCGTGGCGACGTGCCGGACTATAATGAGGATGTTGCGGGAAAACAACCGATCATGTGTTGATGCTCAGAATTATCCTGGTGTGAGAGAATTAGCATCAGGTCAGCATATTTCATGTGTGAAGCTTTTCAGTTACTCTCATTTATTCTCCAAACAGTTTAGACAATAGAAAATTAAATCAGTTTTGCTAAAGAGTTTGCACCTACTGGGACCTCTGTCAAGTTAGTCAGGAAAACGAAACTCAAGGGAATTAGCAGACAGAGAAAAAAAAAAATGGAAAGCAAGAAAGAGGTGGAAGTGGAGTTGAAGGAGATTGCAACGGTTGAGGAGGATAAGGAGAAAGAAAATCAGGAGAAGGAGACAAAAGGTAAAATGTTTAATAAAATCTTTAATTTATATGCAATAAACAAGTTATAACTGCTGAAATTTAAAAACAGGACTCTTCCCTTTGGGAGAGGCTGCTTTATGATTCAGTCATTATATATACACATCGATCTTGTTTTCTTTTCATATCTAATTCTTTTCAACTGGATTTTCTCCAACTGACTTTGCAGAAGAGGCCGTAGATGAAGGGAATTTTTACTCTACTCTCAGCAGTCCGTCTGAGCATGAATATGGCGTGCCCTCTTCAATTCGCTCTTATACAGTAAATAAAGGTAACACTTTTTGTACACATCAAAACTTTTTTTTTTTTTTTATCACTGCACATTTCAGGCCAATAAATAGCTAGTGTCAAAAAAATACCCATTTAATGATAAAAAAAAAAATAATCCAGGAGTTTGATTTATGGCAAGTTTTGATTTGTGCATAAATTTAAATTATAAAATAAACTTGGGCGTATTCAAATACTGTGTATAAATAATGCTACACTCTTAAAGATAAAGGTTTCAAAAGGGTGATTCATGACATAGGAGCAACATTTTGGTTTCCCAAAGAACCTTTCAATAAACAGATCTTGAAAGAATCATTTTTTTTTTTGTAGTGCGAAGAAGATTTTAATAATCTAAAGAACCCTATAAACTATAAAGAACCTTTTGCACTGGAAAGATTCCATAGATGTTAAACGTTCTTTATGGAACCATCAATGGCAATAAAGAACCTTTCTTTTTAAGAGTGTATTAAAACATTTTAATGATATATATATATATATATATATATATTACATGCATTCATGTGCATATTCATTGTGTGATATAAGATCCAGCTGTCTCTGGTCTAAAACAGGACAAGTGAAAATGGCCAGAAAGAGGAACAAAAACAGATGGAGAAAAAAACAACTGATGCAGTCAGTGGTCAGTGAAATAGAGCAAAGTATCAAACAAAACAAACATTCTGATCTCAAGATTAAAAGACGTATGTAAAATGGTCTACACTGTAAAAAAAAAAAATAAAATATCTAGGTATCGGGTATCTTGTTTTGTCCAGAGAGTACTTCAAGGTTTCAGAAGGGCAGGCGAGGACACAGAGCGTCGTAATCAGACTGTACTGATGAACGTCTTCAAAAGACCCTGCGCGCGGTCGAAACCTTATGGGGTTAGAACTCGGCCACAATTCTGCACATATTTTGAGCGCACAAAAGTGCATTTTGCATGCGCGCGATTTGAGTTTTGTGGATAAAATGTTCGTCTCGCAAAGAAAAAAGCATTTTGAGCGCACTAAAATCAATTTTGCATTTAAAATATGTTTTTGGATGTGTGCAGACCCTATGGTGCCCGGGAGGTAACATGGTCGGTTCACTTAGTTTTGTCATGGCCACGACATAATAACTCGTGGGAACGTGATAATATGTTGTGGCCACGAGCTATTAATTAATGGGAACGTCATATTAACTCGTGGGAATGTGATATTATGTCGTGGCCACAAGATAATTTTGAGGTAATGACATCGTTATGTCGTGGCCTCGAGATGCTATGTTGAGGGAACGACATCCATTTCTCGTGGCCACAACTTCTTATGTTGAGGGAACGACATATTTTTCTCGCAGCCACGAGTTTAATGCCTAAACAAACCTGTGTGACCACAGCAACCTGGGATTATCAAAAAAGGATAAAACATTTTTATTAACATTAAAGGGATAGTTCATTCAAAAATAAAAATTACCCCATGATTTTTTTTTTGAAAGATGTATTTTAACTCTTCTGCTGTACTGTACTGTAATGCAAGGAATGTTGTGATTGGTTGTCAAGGCAGCCAATCAGAATTTAGCAGCCTCGTCTCTGATTGGCTGGAATTATGGCATATTGTAACGCTGGGTTGTGTTGAGCAAGTGAGCTGTTGGCATTTATAGAGCACTGAGGGCAGGCATCAGGTGAGCAAGCTAGTGAAACGTTGCACGTGTAAAAGAGGTCTGCACAAATCCAAAAATGTATTTTAAATGCAAAATTGATTTTCGTGCGCTCTAAATACTGTCTTCTTTGCGAGCCAAACATTTTCTCCACAAAACTCAGTTCGCGCGCGTGCAAAACGCACTTTTGCTCGCTCAAAATATGATCTAATTCGCGCAGAATTGTGGCAGAGATCTAATCCCATAGAAACCCCCCTGTAGTGTGTTAGTGCGCACATAAAGAGCCGAGATGCGGTTAAGTGCGCACTAGAATACAAAAGCCTGCAGATTATTCCCTGGCCTTCGTCGAACTGAGCCACAAACGGCTTTGTATTAGCAGAAACATGTACGTAAAACTGTGCAATTTCGGCAAGTACGCAAACGGCAAGTCTAAACCGAAACAGCTGCAGCCGGATTCAGGTGATGAATGTTGCGAGTGCAGATCTCTTGACTTCCGTCATTTGACGGTCCATGTAACGACAAATGTATGATGTTTTTCTCCAGATCCATCGCTAGATATTCACCGGAAACTCCGTGTTTACCGCATCGTCTCGCTGGTTCTCTTTGTCATCTGCGTCCTTTTGCTGATTGTGGTCCTTGTACTGTTTATGAAGTGTAAGTATGACCATCTTTTATATGTACAGCGTGGAACCTATAAAATAGTATTGTATTCATTTAACCCTTTTATTGTCTTCGACTTCGGGCCATTTTTGGTCTAAAATACGCTATAAATACCACATCGTTTTTGATATTGGAAACAGGCTTTGTGTCTAAAGGATCTAAACAAGAAAAATATAAGCTTACGTAATTTGAAAAAATAATAATATTAATAAAAATAAATGAAATAACTATTAAGATATGGTCCACATTATCTTTCCAGGGTTTGACGTGGGCTTCTGAAGAACCACTTGTGGCCTTTGGCCTTTCAGTATGATATGCAGCTTTATTTTTTTTTATTTGAAAACTCGAATTAAATTTGAATGAAAATATTTCACATTTAAAATACCATCTAGGGTTTAACCCTTCACACATAGGCCTACTGTTCTCTATGATAGGGTACAATGGTGCTAAATGCATGGATGCAATTTTCTCCATACACAAACTGCTTTAAATTCATAAACTTGTTCATAGACTAATATATATTTCATTGTATTGTGACGTGAATGGCTAAAAGAAAACGAAATTAACCAGGAAAAGAGTCACATTTGTTTTTGCCAGAGTAGTATCCCAGAGTTAATTTAAACTTTGAGAACAGATAAAAACACATTTTTCTTTAAAGTGGTCTTTAGACCAGTTGGACCATAATCAAGAACAATTATGAATTTTTAATGGTTTTCAAGGATCACAAGTGGGTGCAGTTTTTAGAACAATTGGTGGGTTAAAATTAGTATGAAAAACAATATAGTTTACCTTCAGGAAAATGTGAACAAAAATGAAAATGAAGGTAAACGTACCTATTAAGCTCACCAAAATCTACATTGAGACATTTTTAGCACACAAAATATTGGTTTCAGTACAAGAAGTTATGTTAAAATAAAATATTAATCTCTCACACAAAAATATGTAATTTCATTTTAAATGACAAAAGCATTTCAAAAGTCTGGCTGCGCTTAATGGGCACACGTTTGTACCCTTTAAGCACACCCTTGTTCCCATTAAGCTCACATCATGTTTTATTAAAAATTCTTGTTTATTTTAAACAACCTTTTTAAAGAATAATTAAAAAAAAAGTTTTATTTGAAGGTACAAAGTCAATCACAAAAAAACAACAACACTAAAATCAAGCAACAAGGCATTCAATTTGAACAGTTATATATTCATAGTGAAGTGTCATTTAAGCACATTGCAACATCCAGACTAGTTCACACGTTCAGCTAAATAACACATATTCAAAAATCAAATAAAACCAATAAAATATTTCATTCATGGGGATGAACACAGAAACTAGCCTCATTATGAAGCCTCTTATTAAATGGATCAACTTATCTATAGTCTCTTAAGGCTACACAAGGAATACACTACACAATTTTCCACTGATTTACAGTCAAGTTGACGCTAGTTGCCAAAGGTCAGAGCCGGTCTGCAGATTTGAGTTATTTAATAGAAAATAACATATTTAATAGAAAATCACGTACTGTATGATGATCACAGATTCTCAGTCATTTAGTGTATGATGCCCAGTTTTCCTTTGTGACTATTTACAAAGTCTGTAAGTGTATGATGCCTGGTGTTTTAAAAATCTGTTCAAATTTTAAGTCGTGTAGTGTATTCCAGCCTTTAGTCGCTTTTTTTACTGGACAGATACGACAGGTTTCTGTAGGCGCCTTCTTTGAATGGACGACATGCCTCTTTCATCTTTGAGCATAAACTGTAGTTATGTCTAGATTTTGTTATTTTAAAGCTGTGAAAATAAGTTATTAACCATTTTATAAAGATTAACTTAAGTGACGGCCATCAGTTAATATTTAAAGTATGTTTATGAAGTATTTACATAGACGTTCAATGTGGAAGAGCTTAAAG